CCCCCAGGAAGATGCCCTTCCCCCACCACCAAAACTCTTCCCACTGAGCCACACAAGCAGCCTCTCTCCCTCAGGGCAGGGCAAGAAGGTACCCTTCAAGGTGAAGGTCTGAGGTCAGCTGAAGGCCCCCTCTTGTGGGCTTGAGTACCTGGCTCTCATGCCCTGAGGCGACGCTGAGCCCTGCAGCCGCCATGTATGTGCTGCCGATGGTCTTGATCTTCTCCACACCACTGAACTTGGGCTTCAGCAGCAGCTGCAGGACAGAGCCCAGCTGGTCCAGCCTGCACCTGCTTTTCAGGGAGGGTGTGGGGTCCCTCCTCCCCACCTCCTGCAGCTCTTCCCCTGAGCACAGGGGGACACGGCCCTGGGTGCTCCTTCTCCTCCTGTCATCAGCTTTCCTGGACACTCTCTGCCTCTTCCTTCCATCCTGTCTACGTGAGCACACACAGCATCATCTGCAGGAATGTGGTCATCTGTTTCCAGCAGAGAATTAAGCCCGACCTCATCTCCTCAGAAACACGGGTGGGCAGCATGGGTTGAGCTGGAAGTCGGGCTAGTCTACAAGGGCCTTGGCAAGCTGCCCACCACAGAGAAGATGCTCGCAAGATGTGTGCCAATCAAAACCATGAGAAAAGACATACGTATACCTTCTACACGCTGTAACACATGCCTCCCCGAGGGAGCCACATCGGGTTCTAGCCGGGTCTGAGACCTGGGCACCACCCTGCCCCTGCCCCTGCCCAGGCCGCAGGCTATACCTCGTCGAAGTCCGCAATGATCTCATTGAGCAGGCGCAGACACTCCAGTCCTTCTTTGTTGACGTCACACTCCGTGTAGAACACCTTGAAGTCCGGCACAGAGGCAAACATGACACAGACGCAGTCGTAGGACTGATGGTACCAGTCCTGGGGGAAGGGGAGGGCAGAGACGGGATGCGCGGTGAAGGGAGAGCCGAGGGGGCACTGAAGGCTCCGCCCAGCTTTCGGGGGAGGGGCTGGCCATGGGTCCCAGCCTCCACCGCACGCGAGGCTCATGGGGCTGCGAGGGTGACTCCGAGTCAGCCGGCAGCGAGGGTGAGGCTCAGGCTGGGTGTGTCTGTGCACAGCTGGGGGTGAGGACCCCAGAGTAGCAGGCGGCGACTGCCCAGAGGTCAGGGACTATGCACGTCACCGGGCCCCATCTCCCAGCTAGAAAACTCTGTTGCCCTGAACACACCGGAGCCTCGCGACAGCTGCGTGAGGCAAGCAAGCCCCTTTGACAGAGGCGAAGATTGAGGCTCAGGGAGGTGAGGCCTCCGACCACGGTTGCACCTGGACCCAGGTCCCTGACCACAAGCCCGTGTTCTCGTGGCTGCTGCCACGTGTCATCTCCTGGGCACACCGGTGCAGCCGAGACCTGAGAAGCCAAACTCGGAACGCACTTGGGCCCGATACCGTGGCCCCACGGACGGCCTGTGTCCCTGCAGCCCCCAGGTAACAGCCTCCTCCCACCACACCTCGTTCAGCTTATCTCCGATGAAGTGGGCAGCCACGTGCGCCGGCAGCACGTTCTCCAGAAGAAGGCGGTTCACGTTCTCCATGGTTTCGAACTCCTCGTGCTCCTTCTTGAACTTCTTCTTCCACAGACAATCCAAGCGGCAGTAGTAGTCAATCTGCAAACAGTGGGACACAGGGAGCAAGGGTGAGGCCACCCCCCACCGCCCAGGGGGCTGCAGGGCCAGCCCGCCATGGGCCCACCCTGTGCACCTCCCCCTCGGGTGAGCCTGTCCCTCGTGTCAGGTGGGAGGCTCTGGCTGGGGGTCGGCACTACCTGTCTGGCGAGTAGGAGCAGGGTGGCGTAGAAGAGCACCAGGTAGAAGTGGACCATGGTCTTCAGAGCCCTCCAGGGACAGCTGGGGGCGCCGCTGGACGAGACGGGAGGCTGGAGTCACTCCCGCCCCGCCCCACCACATGCACCCACAGGAAGAGGGTGGACAGGTTGCCAAGGAGGGGGTGCCGTGGGAGAGGTGGGCGGCGTCTCCTCTGAGCTCACCCCAGGATGACAAGGGTCAGCCCGCCCTGGGGAGGGCCCAAAGGCACCAGAGCTCGTGGTGAGCCGGGAGAGCGCTAGCTGGAGGAGGGACGTGTGGATTTGCCTCAGGGTCTTGCAGGCGCCAGGAGCAGATGCCGCCCTGGGTCCCCAGGTTTCAGCCTTCCAGTTCAAGGGAAACCAGGCCCTGCCCTCCATCTACTCGGAGCCCAGAGCCCCTAGCCCTTCCATGTCCCAGGCATCACCACCTGCCCGGGGAGAGACCCTTTCTGAAGCCCTGAAGACCCGGGCCCCGCCTCAGAGAGGGCCTGAGCTGGAGCTGAGCTTCCCTCCCAGTCCGCTAGAGACAGGACTTCCCAAGGGCCTGCCAGTGAGTCACAGGCAGCTCTGGGTGCTGGCGCCCCACCACACTGGGTGGCCCAGGGGACTGTGACTGCAGAGGCACCACAGTGGAGGCGGCAGGGGTCGGGGTCTGGCAGTGAGCTGCGCGGGGCCCACCTGAGGGTGCCGTTGGCTGTGGTAAGGTTGCCTGGGCTGCGGCCACAGCAGTCCCACTGCCAGCATGGGTAGAGGCTGAAGAGCACCAGGTAGGCCACCAGGGCCACCGTCAACAGCACCACTTTCGGCTCCAGGCTCATCCGCAGGAAGACGGAGCAGGCCACGAAGCCCAGGACACAGCTGCAGGTGTAGTACTGGGGAGACCGGTGTCACTCAGGGCGACCTGGCCTCCCACCATCGCCTGTCCCTGAGAGGGGCGCCCCGCCCAGGTCACCAAAAGGAGAGGTGACCAAACACGCTGGCTCCCAGAGGCCCTGTCCATGAGGGTAGCCTGGCATGGAGCCACAGCCTCAGCATCGCTCTGGTATCACTGGCCTCCCTTCTCAGCAAGCATCAGGCAGCAACTGACAGTTACGGCGGGATGCTGTGGGTAGGTTCACTTCCGGTGGAAGCGAGTGCAGTAAAGTGCAAGATGTGAGAATGCATGTGTTGTGCATGCAGGCGAGGGCCCAGGCAGCGGTGCACAGGGACCAGCTGCCCATCTCCAGAGCTGCTGGGAGCCTGCCCCTCCCAGCATGTATCCCTGCCCACGTTACTCTCCTGCCCAAGTGCTGTGGCTCCCGCTCCCCAGAATAAAGACCACGTTCTTCGTGGCACTCCTGCCCCCTGAGCTGGCTCAAGCCTGCCTCTGGCTCCCTCTCCCAGTTCTCCCCTGCTCCATGACACACGAGCTGAAACCCATGCTCCTGTCGCATGTCTCTGCTTTGCTCACACCACCCCCTCCCCACCGTCCCAGAGGTACTCCAGGCACACTCCACCTGGTGTTGGCCTGCCTGGGCTCAGCTGGGCTCCACCACCCGCTAGGCAGGTCCGTTCACCTCCCAGGGCTCTGCCCACTCGCGAGTAGAATGGAACAGTGGGCCTGTCAGAAGGGATGGGACCTGGAGACCCCCAGTCCAGCAGACGCTCCACAGCAGCCTGCCCACCCAGACATCTTGGACCCAGCACCAGGACCCAGACCCTCAGCGCTCCCAGGACCAGAGGCTGGCATGGCCCATCTGGGCCCTACTTCCTCCTACAAGAGGCTAGTCTTGGCAAATCCACAGGCCGTCTTCTCAGAGTTTCCGAAGCAGGGGCCTTGAGTGTAGGGAGCTGCGCCCCTGGCAGAAGCGGCCATGTGAGACCCGCAGCACCACGAGAGCCAGGCCTGCCTGGCCGCCCGAGTGGCCACTCACCGGCAGCAGCTCGCAAGCGTTCCTCTCCCTGCTGCTGGTGGCGGGTGGGCTCGTCCCGTTGGCTGGGAAAGGCATCAGCGGCTACAGAGGAGACGTCCTGTTAGGGTTGGCCCTGGGGGTGGGGACAACGGACCCGCCAAAGGCACTGTGCCCGCTCCCCACAGAGGACTCAGAGTGCGAGGGTGTCAGGGAGGGGAGGGGGTAAAGAGGAGTGGGTGGTGGGACAGGGGGCACCAAGGGGGACACTGGGGGGGGTGTCGAGGAGGGGAGTGTGTTGGGTAGGGGGCATGAGAGGGGCATC